GGAATGGCATGACAAAGTCCCAAAATCATGGTATGAGGGACCCGAACCATCATGGCCTCATTGGGATAACCGCTGCGTGAGACCACTCATCCCTCAGGTGCTGGTCCCAGGCTAAATAGGGACAAGCAACTGCAGCCCCTCCTGGGAAATCCCAGCTCAGAGCTCACATAAATCACTGCATGAAGCAAAACTCATAAAAAGGACAACCAAGACATCCCCCTCCTTCCTGGGCAGCTCAGTGAACCACCTCTGGGCTAATGATGGGTAAGTCCGCCCCCTTCCCAAATCACACCTTCAACCACAGTATCCAGCGTGGCCAAGAGCCTATTATGACCCTAAACCTCCAGCCACCACAGCCTCAAGCCTCTTCCTGCAGCTTTGAACACAAAGGTGAAACACTGCTTAGCAGAGATAGGACAATTCCTGCCCTCTGGGACAGGGACCACCTGCAGCCTGCCTTCCCCTCTGGGGAACAGCTGGGGAGGGAGCTCAGGAAAAATCTTGCTATATAATAAATCAGTGGCATAACTCCAAAGTGCCCTCCTCGGAAAACGGCTGATGTTTTGCCTTTTCTCTGAGAAATCCTTTCCCCACTACTGGCTCCAAAAGGACCGTGCCAGCCTGAGGGACCTGCGGTGTGGAGCAATGCGGCTGCAGGCAATTCCAGCAGCTGCCAGGCTGCGCATCAGGAAGAGGGAGCCTCATCCCAGCAGCACCGCTGCAGATGAGAAGGCACTTTCTCTCCTCAGCAGGTTTCAAGCCCTCTAGGAAAGGCCTGAAGTTGCTCCTAAGCGCGAGGAAAAGCGAAATGAAGGGACAGGAGAGGCCCACATCCACAGAACATGTTGAGCACAACCATGAGAAGCAGTTTGATGCACAGATCAACTTTTTGCTTCTGCTGATTTGCCATTATCATCACCACAGGCAGAAGCAGCACGTGCCCCACTTTGTTAGAGAAACTGAGGGGCTGCCAGCACCATGAGCTGGAGGAGACCCACGTCTACATAGGCCCCGGAACTGGGAGAGGAACTGTACTCGTGGGGGGCAAATTGTTCCGCAAGTTTCAGCTGCCTCTTCTCAGAGACAGGCATGGTGCAGCTGCACCACCACAGGCACAGCGGCCATGAGCAGGGCAATGGCTCAGAGGCAAGAGAGCCTCGATTCTATGTCACCCCAACTTTGGTGCAAGTTACTCCCACGGACTAACCAGGTTACTCTGGCAGAAACAGGACTCAAAAGAGGCGTGACTCTGGCTCTCTCCTACAGCTGCATCTGTGCTTCCACTAAACCTCAGGAAGAGAGCACAGGGATGCACCTTGCAAGAACCCAACTTGCTCCCAAGCTCCAGGGCAACTTCTCTCCTAGGAGGCAGCAGAGATTCCCTGCACCATCAGCCTTTCCCATGCTGGCCGTTTGCTCCAGCTCAGCTGTTCCCACTGCCAGGCAGTGGCAGAGCATGTGTGATACATGACAGTGCCGGGGGCCGATGGTGCACCCCAAACTTGGGCCCTGCACACCTCGCACAGCCTGACCTCATGCAGGGCCTGTGTGACTGACACCAGCCCCCATACTGCCCGACCCCTGGCTCAGCCTCACAGCCCCACCGCAGCCCCTCCTGCTCACACAAACTGCAGAACAAATGCTGGTTTTCCCCATGCGGGAGCCGCGGCGTAAGTCAATCCTCAGGCGAGGAGGCGGCTGCCGGCAGCGCCGAGCCAAGGCACACCCCTCCATTGCAACACAGCCCTAAAGATAGTCACTGTCCCCCGCTGTCCCCTGCCATCCCACCAGCCGCTCGGACCCGCCACCGGCACAGCCAATGGCACGGACTAACGAGCAGATTCACCAGAGCAGGTTCACCAGCCTCTCGTCCCACCACGACTGCAGGAGGGCGAAATTCAGGAGAGGAAGAGATTGCAGGAACCGCCGGGCACGTCGCACTCGCCTGTGGTTGCAACATCAGCGCAAAGTGTCCCCGTCGACGAGGGGACGTGAAGACATCGACCCCCCCACGGCGCGGGGAAGTCGATGGGAGGTTTCAGCGCGGCCCCCACCGGGCCGGGCCAGGGATCGACGGCAGGAGCAGCCCCCGCCGGCCCGCAGCTCTGCCACTGCCGCCTGCTTTGGGAACCGTCCCGGCGGGCACAGACGGTGTCTCGGGAAGAGATCGCGGCTGCCCCGAAGCCACAGGCTGAGCTGCTGCATCTCTGGCACAGCCCCAGCAAGACCGAATGCTCCAAGAACCAGAGCTGGACCCAAATGCCAAACCGGGAGCTGCCACCTCCCAGGAAGGGACACCAGTGCTGCTGCCGTGACTGTGGGGTGCAGGAGGGACCCTACTCCCCGAGGCTGCACCTGCCTGCTCCTCTCCACTGCACCAGAGGAAACAACAGTATGGGGGGAAACATCCCAGGGCTGGCCACTCCCCGTGAGGCAGGGCCCCATCCACCTCCTGAGCATGAATCCACTGTGGGTGGCCCTCCACCCCACATCCTCCCCTGCAGCCCCAACTCAGTCTCTAGGACAGCCCTAGTACACCCCATTTCCCCCACACACAGCCTGACCGTACTGGGGATCTCCCCACTCAAAGCACCTTCTGCCCTTCTGCCCCATAGGCTGCAGGTACTTCCCTAGTCTCCCCCAGCCCCTGAACATCCCCCATTTCTCCATAACCCCTGCTTCATATCTCAGTCACTGTGGGTTCCCCCACACCTAGACTGACATCCCCAGCCCCCCCAAACCCTTGAGCACCCTAAACCACCTCACATCCAGCTTGACCTCTACGGGTGCCCTGGTTCCCGCAGCCCCAGATCACCCCACATCCAGCCTGACCCCACCGGAGACCCCCTGCTTCATAGTACCCCATGTCCCCTGGCAACCCCATCACTCCATAAACAGCCTGAGCTCCCATGCGCTCCCACAGCACCACAACTCTTCCTATAACCCCGCAAGCCCATGACCAGACTGACCCACCATGGGTCCCTCTAGGGAGCCCCAAATCCTCCAGAACCTGCCTGACCCCTATACTCCCCAAAGCATCCCAGGACCCCCACAGCACCCCCGCACCCCATAACCTGCCTGACCCCTACAGCAGTCACCCTCCCCTCAAAGCCCCTCTCGCCCCATAACAGGCCTGACACCCGAAGAACTTCACCTGCCCCCGCTCACCGGGGCCGCCACTCCGCTCCGCGCTGCCTCCACCTGCACCACCGGCCCCGCCCCCACCCCTTGACGTCACCACACGAGCCCCGCCCCCATTGGCCGCGCCCACTGGCTGCCGCCCCCGCCCGTCAGAGCGCGGAGGGGGCGGGGCCAACGCGCGCCGCTGCAGTGGGCGGGGCCCGCAGGTGACGAGGAGGGGTGGGGCCAGGAGATTCCTCCATTGCTCCCGTGACGTCATAGGCCCAAATTAGGAGAAGGTGCCCCCACGGGTTCCCCCCGCGCCGTGGCAGAGCTCCAAAGCCCCCCAAAACCGGCAGAATCAGGACTTTTTTTGATATTTTTCCTTATTTTCATATCTTCCGAAGTTTTCTTAGGGAAAACCCCGTCCTTGCTGGGGGCTGGAGGAGCCGGGGGCGTCCCCATCCTTAGCCCACCGCAGGAGGCTGCGGCGTGGCCGGAGCCGGTAAGGGCGTCAGGGTCACTGAAGTGCCCCCAAACCCGACCCCATCCCTGGGCCACGCCCGGGTTATCGGTGCCGCGCAGGCGGCGGCTGCGGAGATAAGGCGGAATAGGGCCCCCGCGAGGACGGGGATGGAGGTGGCGGCAGGATGGAGCTCGGCCCCGGCACCGAGGACCTCGCTGCCGTCTCCGTTGGCTTGGTGGCGGTGGCCTTGCGGTGGCACTGGGTGCCGGGCTGGGCTGGAGTACCCAGCGGACACTCCTGGCGGGTGGTGCCCGGGGTCACGCTCGGAGTCCCCCCCAGCAGCCCAGGGGCCCCGCACGCCCCTGTACCCTGCCCTGGGGACGGGGTGTCCCCATGGGGAGCTTCCTAGTGCCATCTAATGGTCACCGCCCTGGGGACACCGGCGAGGACCGCCACTGTGTGTCCCCCGCTGCCTCTCCCGGGGCCTTTGCAGCCCCCGGAGGTGCACGGGCCGGATCCTGCCCCGAGCTCAGAACCTCAGCACCACGCAGCCCAGGCATGACGGGTTTGTTTGTGCCCCCTCATGCGCCCCTCCCTGGAAGCCCTGAGCCTTCCCCGGTGAGGCTGAAGGTTTGGGAGCAGGAAGAACCTCTAGGCCCTTGGGAGCGGGAGAGGGGGGAGTCCCTGCTAATGTGATGAGAGGGGGATGAATCCATAAGCTGTTAAGCCACTGCAAAGCCCCTCGCGTTCTGGCCCTGTTATCACCGACTTCTGTTCACATCTGCTCCCAGGGTTATTTTTAATCTGGTATTAAGGACTTGTGGGTCCTTCAGCAGGCAGAGGGGGGCTCTGCTTGTCCCCCTCCACGCCGAGGAGGGAGGAGCTGTGTTTTCAGGGCTGCAGAGGTGTCTGTGAAACACGAACATCAATCCTGCTGCTATTTGGGAACAGGAAAAGAGCCCCCTGTCACCCCCTCCCCTCCAGCACCCAGCCATCAACTCTCCAGAAGGTCCCAGCACTGGGGAAAGGTCAGCAGAGGAACCAGGCAGGAGCCTCACACAAAGGGATGAGTTCAGAGATATAAAAAATAGAGATATTTATTAGCATTGAGTAAAGTGCAACCTCAGGATGGTTTGAGACTCAGCAACTGTATGAATGGCAGGAGAGATGCTCAGAGAGGGGTAACAGCCTGAGCAGGGCTGTACCAATAGGATTCTGGAACTGTACAAGGGCCTTAGAAACAACATCAGATAAATTATTTACAGTACAAATTGATTACAGTAGGGTGTAGACTCATGAGCTGCTGCAGGCCGAGAGAAAGAACAGAGGCTGGGATGGAACTGGTGTGTCAGCAGTCTGGAAATTCAGGGCAGCAGTTGGGGACAGCTGGGAATGTCCCTTGGCATCAGGCCATCCCCGGGGTGCCCCCACCTCAAAACGCACCGCAACAGGCTCTAATTTGGAGTAGGAAGATATGGTGAGGTGAAGCCTTGGGGCTACTGCTCCTGCCTGGCTGGAACAGAAATTCTTCATGACTTCCAATGGTGATAGGCAAGGATGACTTAAGAACCAGCATCAGGTCCTGTACCTGGATGTTTCTGCTAAAAATCAGAAGATTTTTCCACACCTGACAAGACCTTAGCAGTCCCACAAAGCTGCCAATGTGCTGCTGGACATAACACTGACACTGGCTGCTGGTGGTCTTTCCTGGAGCTGTGGGCTGGCAATGGGGTCCTCTCCTGGCAGAGAGACTCTCCCAGGTCTGTGGCCAGGAGGAAATCCCACTGCTGGAGACACCTGTGCCAAGAGCTCCCCATGGCATTGCCCCAGTAACTCCAGAAGGGATCTGCTCCATTTACAAATAGGAGAATTTCTCTTGCCAGTACCTTAAAATCTCCAGGGAGACTGGAGTTGAACAGTGTTCCTCCTACTTACAAACATCCAGAGCAAAGACTCCAGAGCTGAAACAATTGCAGCCTCACTGTGCATGTGTGAGCTTGTGAGGTTCAGTCTCTCTCTCACCCCAGAGCCATTTCTGACAAGATTAGGAAGAAATTCCTTCCTGTGATGCTGGTGAAGCCCTGGCACAGATTGCCAGAAAAGCTGTGGCTGCACCATCCCTGAAGTGTCCAAGGCCAGACTGTATGGGGCTTGAGGCAGCCTGGGTTAGTGGAAGGTGTCCCTGTCCCTGGCAGGAGGTTGAAACGAGATGAGCTTTAAAGTGCTTTTCAACCCAAACTACTCCATGGTTCTATGAAATGCTCATCAAGGCACTAAAAGCTGCCCAGAGCAGCACCTTCAGGGGACACAGGTCTGGCAGACTGGTCCACCCCCAGTTAATGCTGGAAGTATTCTCAGAATCTGAATCAGGAATTGTGCTCTGGGCTGGAGACAGGCGGGAGCCACATGACTTTGATCCACTATCCCTTCTGGCCAGAGGGACAAGTCTGTAGCTCAAGCCTGTTTCTGGTTCCTTTGCACCACTGTGGGTGGGAGTCAGGGGGCTGGGGCAGCTGGGGCTCCTCCCTCAGCTCGTTGGGAAAACCACAGGGACCACTGGTGTGAACGGTGCTGCTGTGGAAGGCACAGCCCCTCACAGAAAGGGAAGAGGCTGCATTGGCCAGGACGCAGCCACAAAAGCACTGCAGAGTCCTCCTGCACACCTCAGATCTGGCAATACAAGGCTATTGCTGCTCAATCTTGATGTGGTCTCCGATCATCCAACGGTGATACGTGGCCAGGAAGATGTCATTGTCTCGGGGGCAGTCGTAGTGGCAGGAGCACATCTTGATGAACATCATCTTCCTCTGGAAGAAGTCCCCCTCGGGGCAGCGGAACTCCACGTCCATGGTGCTGGTCAGGAACGGGGTGCAGCAGCGCCCATCCGAGCAGCTGCCACAGAACCGGGGCCGGTAGGAGCGGGTGCTGGTGCATCCCGAAAACTCAAAGTGGAGGCTCTGGCGCTGCTTTGGGGTCTGCACACACTTCTTCCCCTTCTAGGGAGAGAGCAGATGAACTACCATGGACATGAGAGGAAAGATGCACTGAGGCCTGTGCTCTGACCCCATCGCTGGGCAATGGGACACAGAGGAAATTGAAGCACAGAGCAAACCCTGTGAGCCAGGATCATTCCCAAGGCTGTCCCCAGCATTTGGGGTGCTGTGTCCCCTCTCTTCCAGCACCGTACCTCACCGTACCTTGGTTTTTTCCATGGAGAAGTTGCAGGGCCGGACCATGCAGAGCCGGGTCTCCTTCTCCAGGCGGCACTGGGGGTTGTTGTTGGTCACACGGGTGGAGATGCCCATTCCGCAGCTCCGGGAGCACATGCTCCACTCTGTGGTCTGCACCAGGCAGTTCTCCTGCAGGTTGTTCAGCTCCGGCTTGTGAGCGGGATCCTCCCTGAAAACTGAGCCATGAAGAAGAGACACAAGGCAAGGCTCAGGGCTTTGGACGAAGAGTGGTAGCTCCGTGGCTGATCCTAACTCAGTTTAACACTTCAGGATCATCAGCAAAGGTCTGGCCCATCCCATGAGATGCTCGGCCTCTCAGCAGGAAGGGGATGCAGGTGGGCAGGAGCCATTTCCTACATAGCCCAGCTTCAGACAGGTCTGCTGTGACACTTCAGGACACAGGAGCTTTCCCATAGCACCACTGAGGTTTCACTTTGTATTGGATCTGGCTGAGCTGGAGCTGATGTTCCCAGAGCAGCCACTCCAGCACTGTGCTCTGCAGTGGGAGCTGGAAAGGTGTTGGTAACACACCAGTGTTTTTGGCTACTGCTGGGCAGGGTTGGCACAGCATCAGTGATATTTCTCCAACATTCTCCCCGCAATCAAGGGGCTGGGAGTGGGCAAGTTCCTGGGAGTGGACACAGCCAAGACAGCTGACCCAAATTCACCACAGGGATATTCCAGGCAACTGCTCCACGTGCTGAAGCCCTGCTGCCCGGGAAGTGGCTGGACACCACTTGATGATGGGAAGTAAGGAATAAATCTATTTTTTTCTCTTTGCTTGTGCACATACAAACTTTCACTTTTGCTTTAGTAAACTGCCTTATCTCCAACCTACAAGTCACTTTCCATTTATTTTCTCCCCCTTGTCCAGCTGGGAAGGAGAGTGATAGAGCAGCTGAGTAGGTTAGACCTAGTGTTTAGCTCTGGAACCCAACACTTGGTATTCACCCAATCATGATGATGCATAAAGCCACCACCAGCCCCAAACCAGCCAGTGCTCCAGATCCACCCCTCTTCCCCAGCAAACAGCTCCTGGCCCCATCCCATGTGCCCCACTGACCTGCCATGGCTGTTCCAAAGCGGTTATCCTCGCTGCCCTCCTCACACACCCACTCCTCACAGCACTTGTTGTGGAACTTCACCCTCCGGGGGTTGGGGCACTCTGGGGACGGCAGGCGCAGGTCATCGGAGCAGAGTGGGATGCAGCCGATGGCCCCGTCCATGCAGATGCACTGCAGCTTGCACGTGGGCTGGAAGCTCTCCCCGTTGAGGTAGATCTTGCCCAGCAGGTCACATGTCGCACCCTCATGAGCTGGGGGAGGAAGAGGAGGAGAAGGAGGAGTAAGCAGAAGGCTGAAACCCTGCCTTGGGGACACAGAGCTCCTGAGGAGGGACAGAGCCCCTCCCCTGCTCTGCCATCCCAGTGCTGGATATATCATATTTGCCTCCCTGGACCCAAGGCTATTCCTGACACTGATTTTTCAGTGCTGGTCCTTCCAAAACTCTCTAGAAAAATATTGTTTCTACTTGGATGAGCTACTAAGCATGATTTTGTCTTTGGTGCCTGTAAAAAGCCTATTTCTCTGTCAGAGTTCTTCCCAACCAGCTCGGAGTAACCGCTCAGTGGTGCTGTGCGAGACAGATTCCTAACATGGCATGTGAGCATGGCTTTGCTCCTCGATACTCCTGGGATACCGATGGGCAACGCTCTTCTGAGAATGGCTGGTTCCCCCATGCAAATGGTACCTACAAATGAAAATGACACTTTGGGCTCATGACCTTTTTGGCCCCTCTGTGATGCACAAATCTCTTCCTCCCTCCAGCCCCAATTTTTTCCAGTTCTCTCCTTTCTGATCTCTGGATCTCTCATCTCCAGACCTCCTACCAGTCTCTGTCTCCTTCCCAATAAAACTTAAATGGGCAAAAAAAAAGGACACTCAACAATATCTGACACAGAGCAGCAACCTTTACTCTGCAGGCGCAACAACGCTCTCCAGTTCTTATGACTGCATTAGCCAGAACTTTCCCAGTGGAAGCTTTCCTGCAGAAATCTCTTACCTGATTAAGATCAAGAATGTTTTCAAGAAGAACCAACTGAACCATTTGAAGATTTCCTTTATGCTCAACCAAAATACTTGTGGGATAGTATCCATAGAGGGAAGCATTTTGCTCTGGTAATTATTTTGATACTATAAAGATCAAGATGAAATATTTTGATAGAGTGGAAAGGGAAAGTTTCAACACAGCCAAATAAGTATTCTAAATAAGTCATGGAAAGTTTTGAGGTTTTAAAAAAATACTTATATGTATGTTTATATATTATTTTTTTTAATTTTATGTTTAATATATTTTTTTCTCTTAGCCTGAAATTAAATGTTAAAATCTCAGAGTTTTCACAGGACAGAGATCTTGATTTTGGACAGTTTTCAGCAGCTGCTGTTTTCTGCAATCCTGAACCTTAAAAAAAAAAAAATTAAAAATCCATGCAAACCTCTATGGGGAAGTTACCAAAAGGAGAGATTTTTGACTGCTTGTGGAGGCTTCCCAGGAAACCTTATCTGTTTTCCCATAAGGCCTGCTCACCTGGGGGACACTGTTTTAGACAGAAAGTGTTTGAATCAGACATGGAGTAAGAATCTCTTTCCATCCCATCCCTATCCCTTGAGGGGACACAAATCCTTCTGGACTGTTCCTATCAAGACGTGCATTTCATCTTGCAACTCTTTACAATGTCATTGGGACAAAAATATTCCTGTGCTCCAACTTTGACATTTGAAAATCTCACTTTTTCCATCAAAGTGGAAGCCATCCATCCACCCTCCCTCTATACAACCATTCATACTTATTTTTAAACACTCTCTTCCATCCCGGTGAGCGGATCATGCTGTTCCCTCTCCTCCCTCCCCTCCCAAAGAACAGCAGCCTGCTCCAGGGGTTGATTGTGTTTTCCAAACTCAATCGCTCTGTTGTACCCTTCATTACCCTTCATGACCTCCCTTTCCCACTGACCTGCTCCCATTAAGGCTCCAAAAGACAGCACCCGTTAAGTGATGAACCTCTCCATTCCCTGGCTCTGCTGGCACCACCCACACCCAAACACCAAGTCCAGCCAAGGAGACTTTTGCCCTTTTCCTCAGGGGAAATGGCACCGCTGAAAGAGCTGCTCTATAAAGCTCTACAGCTCCCTGCACGCCCTATCACCTGCAGGACCCCTACTTTAGATTTACTACAGGATCCTCTCTACCTTTCTGATACTCTGAGGTCACTGCAGGAAGGAAAGGATTCCTCTGAAATATGTGGAATGCGATAATATTACACAAATATAAAATAAGTTTCCCTCTGATGGTTCCCTTCCCATCTCTCCCAATACAGCCTACAGACTGATCTCAACTGAGACACTTTTCCCATGACACCTCAGCTCCTTTCTCCTTCCAACACATCTGCTTATTTGGATAAACTTAAGTCAAAACATTGATCCTTCCTTTCCTCTGATTCACTCCTCCAGCTTCCTTCACTGCCTCAAAAATCCCCCATCTTCCAACAGATCCATGTGGACATCATAGAAACATCACCCAAGGATATTATGGCCCAAATCCTCAGCCCATTTTAGAAATAAATCCTGGCCTGTGTTCACTGCAGTTTCTGCTGTGAAAAGCTTAATTTCTTATTTAAAATCAGGAAGGACAGTTGTGTCTGCAAGTCTGATTTCCTCCACAGCAGGATCTGGGACTCTCTCTCCAAAATGTTTGGATCAAACCTGGATGTCTGGTGAATACAAAGCACCTTTATTAGAAGGATTTCAAGGCTTCATGGAGAGATTTTGAAATGGTGTCTCCCACATTCCTAAGGAAATTGTTCCTGTGATTTTGCTACCTTTCCTCCACAAACAGTCACCTCAACCCCATTTGGAATGAGGCAGCATGGAGCTCACACCTGCTGGATGTCATCACACCTGTGTTTGCCTTATTAAGCTTCAATCCTCAACTCTCAGGTGTCTCAATATCTGCAGAAAGTACCAGGAGCTCACATGGCTTCCAAAAATCCCCAAAATTGGGGAAAGAAAATTAAGTAACTTGTAAAAACTTCCTGAAGGAACAAACACCAACAAGTTAGACTCATTTAGACAAGGGCTAGGGATAAACGGGATATTGAGAATAAATTCTTCCCTGTGAGGCTGTTGAGGCCCTGGCACAGGGTGCCCAGAGAAGCTGTGTCTGCCCCATTCCTGGAAGTGTCCAAGGCCAGGCTGAACGAGGCTTGGAGCAAACTGGGATAGTGGAAGGTGTCCCCACCCATGGCAGGGGGTGGCTCAAGAAGAGCTTTAAGATCCTTTCCAAGCTAAATCATTCCATGATACTAAGATCTGTCTCTGGTTGGTGCTGGATCATTTCCAGAGACATCCAGTGTTGTGGCCAAACATTTCCCTAAGTACTCACAATAAACTGCCAACTCTTAGGTCTTCCTAATTATTCTGAAAAGCTCGAATTTAAGAAAAAAAATGACAGCTCCTGTCAGAGATGGGGCAGAGGAGTCTTATTTTTATACAAAGACCAGGAGGTTGCAGAAATACTTTATTTTCCTCTAGACCAAAACAATTTCTGCTTGCTTCAGAAGGAACTGCTAAAAAAAAAATTCTTTTTTAGCTGAAAAGAGGTGTCACAACAGAAAGCAGTTTCTGCATTTGCATTACCTGACTCTGGAATTCTCATGTTCCACACAGATACAATGTGGTGAAGCAGCTGTTCAGCTCTTCCCACCCACTTGCTATGACCAGAAATATGCTTTGCCTCTTGCATAGAAGCAGCCAAGTGCAGAACACCCATCCCTGGCACAAGGCAGAGGGATTTGGGGTAGGATATTCCAAGGAAAAGTACTTTCAGTAAGAGCTCAGACTGCTGATATCTGCCCAAAAGGTAGAGGATGTCCCCTGAGGATGTCACAGAACAGAGGAGAGTCCCACAGCCCCATTCATGCCTCGCTGGAGCCGTGAGAAGCCAGCTGTGTGTGTGCCAGGGGATCTGCTGTTCCCAGGGCTGGCACTGATCTCCCAGCAGGACACTGGATGAAGCACCAAGGAAATTCTGATGGGTGTTCTGGGGAGGCACCACAGAAAAAACACACAGGGACAGAACCTGCAGCTCTCACCTAAGCAGATCCCACTGCCTCTGTTGATTTTTGAGAAGTCACAGTAGAGTCCCTTGTGATGGTCACAGGGCCTGTGCAAGGAGCAGAGCTCGCCCAGCTGCTGGGCACACACCTTGCAGCAGCCACAGGCATCCCACACGTGGCTGGTACCCGCAGGGCACTGCAGAGCCTGGGAGGGACACTGGCATGGGAACGTGCAGGCCTGTGATTCTACCTGGAAGGCAAAAAGCCATGGAGAGAATGAGTCCATTGCAAGGCAGCCAGACAGGGAGAGAAAAAACATGGCTCTGCTGAAAGCACAGATACCCCAGAAGAGAGGGGGAGCAGCCCTGCTGCAGAGGGGTATATGCAGCTCCCAGTGACTTGCAGGACTCATGTTTTCCTCGTTCTTGTTTCATCTGGAGCTTAAGGGAAAAAAAGAAAAAAGATGCCTCTTGGAAGCAGATCCAAAACAAACAGGACAAGCGGTAGCTCAGAGTCCCCTGCACTGCTCACCCTCCCTGGAAGCAATAAAGTAGTAATCATTAACAGCAAGGAATTCCAAATTTTACACAGGACAACCATCAAAGCCTCTGCACCAGCGTCAGGCCCAGTGGAAGCTGAAAAAGCAATGTGCACAGCAACAGAACTTGCCCAAAGCCAGGCAGTGGGACTGTGGGGATGCTGAAAACCAACCCAGAAGCTGGCAATTTTCATTTTATCCCCTGCATCTCATGTTTTCTTCCTTATTACATGTGCCCTCTCCTTTCCATTTTCCAAGGAACACAGCATAACCAACCTTCCCTGGGACCTTGTGAGTGCACAGATGCCCCCCTTTGGCAGCACTTCACTGGACAGCCCTTGAAAGCCACCCTTGGCTTCATGACACTTCAGACACCAAACAGAGACCAGGCTACAGCTGAAGCAGGATTACCTGCTTTGGAAAACCCAGATGGGTCCAGCATCCCAGTCAATGAGTGTGTGCCATCCCTGTCCTGCATCAGCTCAGAGCAAGAGCACCAGCTCAGCTCTGGCTGTGCCCAGATTTGGGCAAGATGTAACACCCTGACTGTGAACAGTGCAGAACATGTGGTCTCTAGAGATCCTCTGAAACCTCCTCAGAAACATCACTGCCAGCTCCAGCCTGCTTTACTGTTCAGATCCCACCCATCCACACTCCCCCTTGCCCCACTCCATGCACCACTCCACTATTCTGGACACGGCTCAGCTCCCACCCTGACACAACCCTGGCACGTGAATGATGCCACCAAAACACTCTGCAATGCTGTGAGCAGGGTGGAGAGGGAAGCATACAATGAGGCAGACCCCTCACAGCTCTGCTGTCACCCCAGGAGAGCAGCAGCTGAGCTGATAATAGCCTTGGGGACAGCAGGGAGGGAGGGACACACCTTGACCAGGTCAAAAAGTATATCTCGATCTCGTTATGGGTCTGTTTGCACTGTCAGATCCCATCCAGCCCTCACCTGTGAAATAGCTTCCTTGGATATTGTGTCTGTCACCAGTCAGAGTAGGAAAACTTTTCCAGCTCTTTTGACTGTTGCTCTGACTTTAGTTCATGTGGGGTGAGAATGTGCCAATCTTTGTACAGCTGTGTCACCAATACAGCACTGTGGGACTGGGATTGGGCTAAAAATTCCCTCAAAGTCATGGAATATCTCAAGTCGGGAGGGACCCACAAGGATCATGGAGTACCACCCCTGTCCCTGCACAGGCACCCCAACAACCCCACCCTGTGCCTGAGAGTTTTCCAAACACTCCTGGAGCTCTGGCAGCCTCGGGCTGTGCCCCATTCCCTGGGGAGCCTGCCCAGCACCATCCAGGGGAAGAACCTTCTCCTAATATCCATCTAAACCACTCCTGAAAGAGCTCCAGCCACTCCCTCTGGTGGTCCCAAGGGGTGAGTCTTTCCAGAGTCTTCCTGCTCAGCAGGAATCAGCATAATTCTCCTGGATAACTCCTAGCACTAAGAATTTTGGAGACAAGCCTCTCCAGCCTGCAGCCCAGCTCTTCCCAGCCAACTGTCCTGGAGCCACTCACCAGAACCTGGCATGTCCCAGGAATCAATTCCCAGCTGCTGAAGTGCATTAAAAGAACTAAAAATACAGAAATCTTCCCTACTTTTTTCTAGTTCCAGCTGCTGGAGCTGCCAAGGAACATGTTATTCAGTCCCAGATGAGTTGGAGTGGGTGCATGAGATCACTCAAGAGACAAAGCATTCCTAACATGGGATCTATATTAAGATGTAATCCATGCACTTAAGAAAAAATAATGATAACAAGCATTTTCCAATGCAGTGTCAGCCACAGGCCATAGAAAGAAACACTCCCAAAATAGCTCTCCTGCTGAAATGCAAACCCAACCAAGCTCTCTGGGGATAAGAGAATGCAACAGCTTTAAAACTAACTGAGTTGTCTCACCTCTAGAAATGTCCAAGACTAGGTTGGACAGGGCTTGGAGCAACCTGGCCTAGTGGAAGGTGTCCCTGCCCATGACGGGGGGATAGAACTGAATGATCTTCAAGATCCCTTCCAACCCAAACCATTCCATGATTCTACAATTCTGTATTTTTTCTTTCCCACCCTCATTAACCATTGCTGGCACTAGTTATTTCCTTAATAACTCACCCACATAAACTAGCCCACCTGGTTTTACCTTTTGTCACAGCAGCTTCACTTTCTCATTGTATCACAGCTGCTTTTCAGCAGGAGAACATCTGGATTCAGATCTGTTGTATCAGAGACCAGCTGGTAACCCTGCACCCACCTATGCTGTACCTCAGCTCCCCCAGCCATCAGCTCAAAAGCCCAATTTCATCATGATTTTCAGGACCCTTCTAAATACTCCCGGATGCTCCCACCAGTTGCTCAGATGTGTCTCCCTCCATTGCCCAGGAGGTGTTGGGGCTCCTGTTTGCTGGTTTTATTGCTTAACAAAGTGAGCCCGAGCTATTTATAATTCCTGATGCTCTCCTAGGCTTGGTAGAGGAGGGAATGAGCTGGAATGGGGTTTGGCTCACACACACCCAACAGCCAGAGCACTGAAAAACTGCCTGGCTAGGGAGGCTCTCAAGTGGGGAATAGCTGGGAAAAAGTCAACGTTCAACCAACTTCCTTGAGCCCTCCATTACTGAATTTTCTTTCAGAGAGGCTGAATAGTGGATTATATTGGTTTTGCATGGAGCACCCTTCACCCTGCATTCTTCCCAAGAGCTTCTTCTCATTCTTCTGCCCAAAGAACTGTGCTAAAACTGCCCCAAAGAACTGTTCCCAAGAACTGCCAGGATTGGAATTCAGGGCTTTGTTGCAGACCCAAAAGTAACACAAAGCCCAGCACTTCCACATAACCTGCCACTCACCTGGATCCAGAGGGATTCAGCTCAGAGAATCCTGTTTATAATTGTAAGCTATAATTATAGCTTATAATTTATAATTATAAGCTATCATTGTTTATCTTCAACTCCCTAAAGTCTCACAAGCCAGTTCTGGGAAAACTTGTCTAGTTTCCTCACTCTCTGACCAGGCTGTCACATCCACACCTCTGCAGAAAGGGTTGCCCCAAAACTCACTTCTACCTTCACTGGGCGTGCTCCTGACTTGAAGTTCACTACAACCTTGACCTGGCTTCTGCTGAGGATTGCAGAGCATTTCTGTGAACTCTGAGAGCAGCAGAACAGAACAAGAGATCAAGGCCATGGATTTCAGAAGGTTCTAAAGCCTGGAATGTTGGCTCTCCTGGCTTTTCTGACAGCTCTTGCATCCATCACAAACACTGTGTGTGAAGCTGTGGGACCTCCAGAACCCCTGAGTAATGGCCAAGCCATGCCAAAAGTGCCAACACTCAGACCAGAGGATTCCCCTGCTCTGCTCCACTCCATTGTGTGCTCCACCTCTGACTCCCCAGAGCTGTCTGCTCAGCTGACAAGCCAGAACAAGCTCCCTCCCAACTGCCAGAACCAAACCCAGTTACCTGCAGGTAAGAAAAACTGAGAATTCTGAGTTCTTCCTGCTTCATATTTACATAAAACCTCTTTCCCTGCACCCTTTGGAGGGCATGAGTGCTGCAATATGAGCTCCCATCACTGCAGCAGGTCTGTGGCACTGTCTGGATTTCTCATTCCTGACTAATGTCCACAGGAGCCCGGGGAACCAGCTAAGGTAGCCAAACCAAAGAGGATGTTTTAAAATGTGTTTGGGCTCATGACTGCACTCAGAGGGCAGGAAAAGGTGAATTTTCAGCTGAGCTGGGTGTTTGCAAAGAGCTTTGGGAGCCAGAGGTTAATGCTGCATGGTAGAGGTGATATAATAAACACTCAGCTGGTTCTTTAAGTGCTCCAAGACTAAGCAGCCAAAACACAGCTATTCATCCTTCAAACTCCAAATGACTGTGGATAACCCCTACTCTCTCTCCATCTCAGGCTCTAAAGATGCCTTCCTACAGCTGCTGCAGCACATTGTAAAACAGCTCCTTTGGAGAGACACGAACCAGGGACCCCCTTCACAGACAGAGCATGGGGATACAGACACCGGCCCAGGATGAGCCTAAACACAGCTCACAGTAATCCTGGAGCTACTCCCACCTCTGAACAACACAGGAGAGAGATTCAGAAGTAACAGCTCTCATTTTCTGCCTTAATCCACAAAGCATCACAGAATCATTAAGGTTGGAAAAGACATCAAAGGTCATTGAATCCAACCTAATGCTCAAAGAAAGTCAAAAGTCACATTTCTGAGCATTTGGCATTGAGGTTTAAGGAAAATCACCTGTCTTAGAGTGGTGACCAAGAGTCACAGTGGTGGGATTGCTAGTTATTGTTTACATGAGCTACATGGTGCAGCCACAGCTGAGCCAGAGTAAGAATCAAGACGCCCACCCTAAATGGCAGCTGTTTCCCTTAGATTGCAGCCCAGTTCATGCTCTTGGCAGAAAAGGGACTGGCACACACTAAGTACTGCTAGGAGCAGTCCAACAGACCTCACCAACCAGGAGCTGCTTGCCTCTCTCACCACAAGCCCTGCAAGGGGTTCTGTGAACCGAGTTTCATTGAGCCACAAAGCACTTACAGCAATTTAATGATGGCAGTGACATTCCTGATGCTGCTGACATGAGAACAGCACTCAAATGTCCTAAGAGGAATCAGCTGCTCTCTCAAGAACTTGTATTAACAGGAAAACAGGCACAAATCCTGCTCTGGAGCTGATGCAGTCTAATTTTCCCCTCAGGATCACTGCTTTTGGGAGCATATGAGTGGATTCAGTGCCAGCTGGGGAAGGATGGTGATGGTAAGGAATCGGGATATGAGACTGTTACTCTTTGCAATGACAAACTCACTGATTTCCCCTTTCTCTGCTCTCTTCTCCCGCTTCTAGACCAGAGCTGATTTCTGGCTTCCAGGAGTAGGAGGAAACAAAACCCATCCCATGTGCCAGGAGCTCTGAGACCCGTGGATGACACCCGTTACACGGGGCAGCCCCCAGTGGGGTTTAGTTACCCAGGACGTCTGCATCACTCTGCTCCCAGCCCAGCTTCCCTCGGAAACTCAGGAGCAGCGGCAGCCAGGAAGAGTCTCTCAGCCCAAAGCCCTCCCATGCATGGAAGCAAGAAGCAGCAGTGCCGAGGCAGCGCTGCTGCAGGGCCGTACGTACCCAGCCAGCGGCAAGGAGGAGTAGGAGCAGGGTCCGGGTCGCTGTCTGCAGGTTACCAGGCATCCCGAGCACTGCCAGGGGCAGGGATCAGGCTGCCGGCCACCTCCTCCCACCCCTTCGGAGTTTTCCGTCTCTCTGGAGCAAGCTGTACATCAGCTTCTCTTTAAATATCCTCTGGAAGGGGCGGGCCCCGCGCTGCGTGACAGGCTGGAACCGAGCCCCAAAGGGTGCAACAAAAAATGCCCAAATTCCAGGGAACGCGGGTGGATTCCTGCGGCTCCGGCGGTTACGGGGCTGCCACCGCTGCCTGCAGCTTAGTTACTTCCCAGGTGGGTAAATCAAACCCCAGTAAAAGCAGGATTATTATTTTAAAATTTTTCCTCTTTCTACCTCCGATTATGAAGCTTGGCACAGCTTTCCTGCCACAGTCTCCCTTTCTCTATCTACAGCCGCTCCTTTTCGGCTGCAAGAGCTGAGGAGTGATCAAACAGAGATTTGTGGTGTTCAGAGTCTGAGCAGGAGGGAGGGATGGGTCGTTCGCTGCTGTCAGGTACAGGTCCGGCTGTGCATCACCTGTCAGCTCCGGGGAATGAAAGTTTCATGATTAGAACTCCTGCATGAGATGCTGCATATTTTACAAGGCAATGAAAAGCTCCTGGATGAAAGTTTTTCATAAAGGGCAGCAGTTCCCCAAACAGCTTTGGGATGGATGCGGGATCACATCTTTATTTCGGGTCATAATCCTTTCTGCTTGCTGCTGAAATACAGCACCAAGCTTGTGCACAGCCAGCACGTCAGACCTTTAGAACCTGAAAAAGTTGGTTTTTTGTGTTAAAGAGTTTTGTTTATTCCCGAAGAGCAAGCAGAGCACTGCCACGGCAGGAGGAGTGCAGCAGAGGGCACTCTTAGTCCTTGCTGGCCAGGGCGGGACACAGCAGCTGGGTATTGGACAGGAGCTCTGTACATATGGAGTGACTTGAGAAAGATGGAGACAGGGTCAGGAAGCTTTCCCAGGGAGACGTGGTGCAAGGGATGGTACCTTCTTTGGGCCAATACAAAGCTGGGCCGAGAGCCCAGGCACTGTGCAATGCAGCCCCAGCATATCCCCGTACCAGCTGAGTGCTGGGAAACAGGACAGAAGATGGAAAAAACCACAGGGAGTGCGTAGTGGGATATTTAAATTCAGCCTCCTTCCTTCCTGCCTCCAGGGTAGGGCAGTTTAGCTGGGAATCAAGCCCTGCAATTCATCCAGCCCTTTCAGGTTCCTGTGCAACAGCAGATCAGCCTCCACATTCCCTGTGTGTCCACTACTGGAAACAGAAAATTCTGATTCTTAATTAATTAACATTTGGAAATCCCCTTGGGTTTGGGGCTGGAGAGCATTAGCACAGTGCAAACCACCCCAGATGCACCTTCTCCTCTTCCATGACATGGGGGATTTCACAATCACATCCATGACAGCCACCTCTACTTGTGGCACACCAGATGATTATGTCTGCACACAAAAGATTTCAGGTTCTGGAGACACCATAAACATCTACTGCCCTCGGGCACTTTGGACCTCCAGGCAGTCTGGCTGGAGATACATTCCTTCTCCTTTTGGAGGGACTGAACTATGTTGTCACCTAAAATTAGCTGCTCACATTTCCCAGGACATTCTCCTGCTGCTTGTAAACAAGACAGGGATAAAGTGCTGCATACTTCTGGTCTCATTTTCTCACATGGCAAGAATATAAACCCCAGCTGAATTCTGACCCCTCCAGGGCCTCTGAGGATGGGAAGATGGCATATTTGTGGCTTTTTGAAAGGACAGTGTGTAATGTGTTGCTCAATCCATTCCTCCTTCTGCTAGAATAAGACGTCCCCCTTTGTGCATCAACAGGACAAGGAGGAAGGGCTTTAAGCTGTAAGAGGACATGTTTAGATCAGATGTTAGGAAGAAATCCTTCCCTGTGAGGCTGGTGGGGCCCCGGCACAGGTTGCCCAGAGAAGCTGTGATTGCTCTATCCCTGGAAGTGTCTAAGAGCAGGTTGGACAGGACTTGGAGCACATTGGGATAGTGAAAGGTGAGCCTGCCCATGGCAGGGAGTGGGACTGGATGAACTTAAGTTCCTTTTGGACCCAAACCATTCCATCATTCTCTGATTCTATAAGAAGCAGCAGCTGCACCTCAAACTGTGATCTTCCAAATTCTGCTTTAACATAAACCTGCTGTGTGACCTCAGATGAACTGTTCAGCCAAAATCCCAACATCACTCACTTGTCAGGAGTTCCGTGGGAAATATTCAGCAGTAAGCCAGCATTATGACAGCTGATTAAGTTTTCAACCTACAACAAAAGTAAAGAATAATTCGATTATAAATCATCCTTTCCAAGCTTCTCATCATCATCAACTCCCTGCATGCTTCCACCTTCCCAGGGCAGTAAAACATACCAAGTTCAGTCCTATTCACCCTTCAAGCCACTTCTTGGATTATAGGAGCAGGATCTGAAGAAGTATCAGCTGGAGATCCCTTGATTTTGGGAGCTCACTCCACCCATTGTCCAAGATTTTTGTAGGTCACTGGGACAACCAAAACTACCCCTCATGCTATAACTGAGCTGCTAACCCTGCTGGACATGCCAAGAGGTAAAAGAAGAACATGATGGTTGAGTGACTCAGAATGATCAAAGGCAGGAAACACCAAGTTAACACCAATTTTTATTTCTTCTTTTTTTTATTTCTTCCTTTCACCTGAGGAAGAAGCTGCCTCAAGTGAAGGGATAAAGATGTCAACCCTGCTTAAAATCTCCCCCAAGCAAAGAATAGTGGGTGTTTAGTACACCTTGTTACATTCTTCTGGGTTCAGTCACCATGCCTAACCAGCAACTTCTCTGGATTTATAGTTATTTGAAAAGCAGATATTTAAATAATTGCTAAAAATCATGTCAGGCCAAAGAATAAAATTAAGACAAGCATACACACAGATTTTTGGCTCAGCAGGATCTTTTCCCATGTCCCTCTGCCTGGAGAAGTCAAAATAAAAGCTGCTACAAGCAGCATGGTACAGAGAATTGTGCTCACCCATTCCTCAGTGACTTCAGAACTGTCTCCTGTCCCAAAGCTGCTTGGTCACCACCAGAACACACTGGTGGCCTCTGGAGCCTTGCAGCAGGTTTGTGTTCTCACAGCTGGTCAGTTCTGGCAAAAGTTACCTCTGGAGTGGATGACGGGCCCTCATTCCCATTTGGGACTCCTTCGACCTGATGATGTAAAACTCTTTTAACCTGACGACACCAAACACGAACTAGGCCCAGCAGAGATGGCGAGATCCATCCTACTCAATGGTCGGAAACACCGGGGTTCCACTTCCTTGGGCATTACCCAACCACTGCTGCCTGCTTGATGCATCCTGCTCCGCACTCAGGCTGGTCACAAGTGCCAGACCCAGGGCCATGGAGGAGTCCTTTCCCTGCTTTTTTGTTCCAGTCTGAGGATACAATGCAATTTTTAAGTTGGGCTAGGCCTTTTCGCTTCTCTCCCACTGGTACATGGCTACGAGACTCAAGTGCCTTGGTGGTTTCTCCATCTGTGGTTTATTACTTGTAACAGAAATAAAAAGTCCACCAAGGTCTCTCAAGGCTCTGTGTTTGCTGCAAGGCTGGGAAGGAGTTCTGCTGCTCTGTGTGTCTTGGGGCAAGACAGATAAACAGCCCTGGATATTTTTGGGGCTCAACATGGTTCCCAGAGAATTAACAGCTGAGAAGGGCTCTTCCAGACCTGAGTTCAAGATAGTACTAATTCAGTGTGTCTAGAAGGATATTTAGGGTCAGATTCATGCTAATTGATAGAAAATTAATTAAGGCATCTCCATTTGTAGCCTAATCTCTCTAGGCTCTCTTTAATAAGTGAAGAAGAGCTGGGGCTGGGGCTACTGAACAGCCTTCTGAGATTGCTGGCTCTGTTGTCCAAGTTCATCAGCTGTGGCACCACAGTAGTGACTGTAAATTGTCAAAAGAAAGTGTCACAGAAATGCAGCACCAGAGCTCAGCAAAGGCTCAATGCCCCACCTTGTCTAACTCCAACCTGGGTGCAATGGTTTCCCTTCCCTATGGATGGAAAGGACAGGAGAATAACCCCCTTCTCACTCCAGCACAGCCCTGTGATGAAATGCTGACTGCGGGGAAACACCTGCTGGCTCCAGCACAGCTGGGATTCCCTCTGCCTGGCTTGCCAAATGCACAGCCCCGAGACCACACTGCTGTGCCCATAGCACAAGGGATGTCAGGCAGGGGGCAAATTTTGTCCATGGTTGCAGGGTTGACTTGTTGAATTGAAATCCACAATTATACTAGTTCTGGGAGGAACTATTGTATTTGAGGATTTATTGTGACATTGAAGTTTATCAAGGAATGTGATACTTGGGATGGCTGAGGTGGCTGCTCATGTCCTTGTAAATATTATATATATATATATATATATATATATATATATATATAAACAATCTTAACACTTTAAGTTCAGAAAGAGATGGTGCTCTGACAGAGCTGGCCAGCAAAAGCACATGTTCTCTTCTAGGAAAAAAATAAATGCCAGTCTGAAGCCTGATCTTGGCAAACATCAGTTCTGCAGTACCAGAGTTACAGCCCAGAGCACGCAGGAGAAAGACACCAAACCCTATTTATCAAAACATGGGATCCTTGTTTCAGAACAGATGAACAGTGAGAAACTCAGCACTTCCAAGGACATCCATGCAACAAGACTGCGGGATGACAGCAAGTGATCCCCTGAGACCATTAACAACTGTAAAATCGGGATGTTTAGATACAAGTGTGAGTCACCATCATGGCCAGGAGCATTTGTGCCAAGGCACAGGCTTGCACAGAACTGCAGGAGAACAAGCCCTGGGAGGAAACAGCTGCACCCACCTGTGAAACAGATGTTTCCTTAGGTTTTTCCACTTCTTAACTTACTGAACTTAATTATCCCGAAGGAAAACTGCAGGGAGGGAGGGCATGTTTAAGGTGGACTTGGACAGGATGATTTAAGGAGGCTGCCAGTGCCAAGGACTCCTCTGGAGCACAGCTCTGGTGTCTGTGACCACTCTGTGACCACTCCGTGTGCCTCAACACCTGCACAGGTG